AGCCAGAGTGATMCTAAATGATGCTTCTCCCTGCTGTACCACTGTACATGCTTCCTATGTTTGTGTACTTATTTTTTTCACTAAATATTATAAAATTAATACATGTCCATTTAAAACTCAGATTTGACTGAAATGTGCTTAAAGTCTCATATCCTGAACCTCACAACAATTTTTGGTATGAGTTTTTTGCTAAAAGTTTAGAACATGCCAATGAAGATATTTTCATTACTTATACAAAGTATGTATTTTAGTTGAGGGACAKGTCTGTAATTCCAGCAACTTGARAGGCTAAGGCAGGAGGATTGCAAGTTYAAGACCAGCCTCAGCAACCTAGCAAGAACCTGTTTCAAAATAAAAAAATAAAAAGGGCTGGGGACATGGCTCAGTGGTTAAGCAGCCCTAGGTTCAATCCCCAGTGTCGACAAAAAACAAGATAATCAAACAAAAAAAATCTACAAATACCTATTTTATAGCTCTTCATGTTTTCAAAATTTAATTAACTCATAAATCAATCAGGTCTTACSAAGAAAGCCACAGTTGCCCTTTGTGGACCTCCCATTCCACATATGGACCTGTCCCTGTAACTCTGCACCTTCTCTCCTAATCCCTTAAGATGCTGAAATCATTTCAGTGGCATCTATCTAAACCCATGAACTTACATTAACTTTGAAAAAAAAAAGTGAGATCTTTTGGAGTGTTAGCTAATTAATCATCCAGCTGTAACTTGGCAAGGGATGATGATTAGGGATTGTCTTAGGCAGCCAGAGGCACCTGACAACTGCAAGGTCTGATTAGACAACATGCTGCTATGGATTAGACCCGGATGTCTACAGACCAGGTTCTCAACCTGGCTGCCATGACCTTGATGTGGAGAGCYTGTGGAGACATGGGTGCACACATGCACACGCATGCACACACACATGCACAACAGTGCTTAGGATGTGAGCACTGGATGTTTTATTGTGCAGTCCAAGTTTGGGAAACAGTGCCCTAGAGCAAAGCAAAGAAAAAAAAACAGAAAAAATGAACATGGAATTTTTTTTAGGCAAACATGGAGCATTATTTGGTTTCTACAGAAATAAAGACCATGGTGTTGTGGAAGTCAGGTGAGAATGACGGTGGGGTAGCACAATGTAAAATAGTTCATCTTTATAAGGARTGACAGCCAGCATCTCATGGGGTGGGAGTTCTTCTTCCTGCAGAGGAGGTTGTAAGCCACCTGAGAACTTAAAGTCTAAAGTAATTAGTGAAGAACAAAAGACRAAGCATCAAAAATRTACTTGCAAAAGTGGAGCCCCTGATAGGTCYRTTCCACACAAGAGCYGGAACTAGACAAAGGAAAGATGGCTCCAGTGGTTTACTTAAGGAGGTGCATCAAAGGCAGGGATAAGGTTTCAAGGGCAGAGTCTTGCTTCAACATCTTGGCRGGTCACACCCATCTCAGGTGCTGAGTGGGRCGTGACARAGCTGGGTAGAAATTCACCATGTGTCAGGGCAGTTCACCAGAGGAAAYGTCCACCTGAGGTTCCCAGACACYAGATGTCCCTATCCACCAGGCTCCATGTGGGGTGGCCCACACGCAGCCCATGGATGGCTCSTGACAAATCTTTCTTACTMAACCCTCAGTAAAAATTACTGAYCAGTCGAACAAGACATAACTTTCTAGAAAGAAAGGGCTGATGATCAGAGACCAAGTATCTTTGGAATTAAACAGTATTCTCCTATTCATTACGTTCTGGGAAACATTAGTCTAGGAATATGCTCTGTAAAGCAACAACGGAAATCAAAAACACTGATAAAATGGGGGGAGGTGCTGTTATCTCTGAGACTACGCATGTTTGAGACAGGTTGGATGACGGTCCCTGTCATGGGCAGTGCAGTGCCCATGTCACCTTAGCACGTGGCCTGCTCTGAGGGTCCCTGTGGTGGAGAAACCCTCAGAACTTTGTTTCAAGCCCAGTTTTTCTCAAGTGTAAGTGTCTCCCTAATGCTAGGGACCACTTTAAACAAGCAGGCTCAGTAACACAGATGGAAGGACATCAAGATCCTGCCTCAGTAAGTGTGCCTCGTGGGGGGAGAAGAGAAACGAGCAAATGACAAACCAGAGAAGACCTCGCCTCAGTGAAAACTAGGAAGAAAATGTGGAAAGAAGATGTGCCGGGGGGTGCCAGGGGCTCTGCTGAGATCTGGGATGGGAGGGGCTGTCCCAGGTGGTCATATTTCAGCTAAGACTCCAGACGATGGGAAGAGCTGGTTTTAGGATCTGGAAATCCTTTCAGAGCAGAGCCTCCTGCTGGTCCCCAGGTCCTAGCAGGACTGAGCTTGGCTTGTTCCAGGGGGCCCAGGGGGGCTGAAGCACAGCGGAGGGTGTTGTGTTCCGAAAGGAGTTTGAGTTTTGTCCAAAAGGTAAAGGAAGCCAGTGCGGTAGCCTCCTTGAATTTACCTTTGTAAATCCTGCTGGCTGCTTGTAGAGGAAGAGCTCTGGGGTCTGAGTGGTGGTAGGGAACAGAAAATTTTAAAAAAAGATCAAGAAGAAAAGGTGGAGGTGGTTCTGGTGAGGYGRCACTTTGTGGAACTGGGTGGTCATMCTCRAGAYGGAGAGAGATGCCCCAATTTTTAATATTTTGGAGGTGTCATCRTAGATGTGCCTGAGGTATATAAGCCTTAAAATTGAGGGCCCTAGGGGCAGAAAGGAGGTAGAGAATTGATTGCTAAAGGGAATCAAATTGGTTATGAAACCCCAACTTTTCTTTAATTTTTATTTTATTTTTTAGTTGTAGGTAGACACAATACCTTTTTATTTTATGTATTTGTACGTGGTSCTGAGAATCGAACCCAGTGCCTCCTTTGYRTTAGGCAAGCRMTCTGCCATAGAACCACAACCCCAGCTCCACCCAAATTATTTTTATTGTTGTAGAAAATATTTTGATGAATGCTAGTAAAGGAATATTTGTGAGATGGAAAAGCAGACAAAGGATCAGACTCCAGGGTCTTGTTGCTCCTAATGTCTTTGCTCTGCCTTTGGCCATCCATGTGAGGTTTCCCTTTGTGGTCTAGGCATGAGTCTTTGTATGTCGTAGCATGAGTCCTTGTTATTCCTACACATGGTGGTGGTTACAGCCTTGAAAAGAAAGCAGGAGAGAAAGGAGGAAGAGGAGAGAAATAAAAATGAAATGTGAAGGATGGAGAACGACTCCTGCTTTGTGCATCTTCTCCCTCTGGGAAGTCTCATGGTGTGCCGTGGGGCAGGAGAGGAAAGTGGCCTAGATGCTCCGTGCTGCAGTAGGTGGGGTGTGCAGGTGACCTGTGTGGCAGGTGGTGCATCCCGATACTGTGGAAGCAACACCGCTCCTGCTTGTTCCCTGTGGTGGTTTTGTTCAGTGGGTAGTCAGCCATGAGCAGGTGGGTAGGGGCAGGAAAATAGAGAGAGAAAACTTACGGGGAGGACATCAGCTTATAYATCAAAGTGAGCCCATAAGTGACAGGCCTGGGAATCCTAAGAAACCTTACCAAAGCAGACAAACATCTGGAAAATGGGAACTGGCRTGACAAATCTCCCCTAACCAGAGTCAATGATAATCCCTTAAGGATCTCTTGTGACCAGGTCATCATGACCTACACATATCAATCACAAAGAGGGTTTTGAGAGAATAAGGCAAGAACAGAGGGACCCCAACTCTAAAAACCCAGACTCTGGGAGAACTACACCATTCTTTTCGGAGATAGTCACTCCGTTCTGTGCTGTGCATCCCAGTGCTYGCCATGTCTAACAAACTCCTACCTGTTACTCTGTACAGCTCCCTGGAAATCTTTTCTGTGGGCTCACAAGGGCCGGTTCCTGCAGACTCCACAGTTGCCTCTGCTGCCCAGGACCAGCTCTACTCTAGTCCTGCAAACATATGATGTATTCTTCATCTTTGTGAACTTGGGTTTCCTCATCTGCTGTTTGACTGTGCTGGCTTGCCATCGTTCTGAGCTTTTGAGTTCTTGAGTCTGAAGGTCTAATCAAGTCCTTCCTGATTCTTACTCTCTCCAGCTTCCTTTAATGACTTTGGGTGCTGATCAAGTTTGGCTGCCTGTTATCAGGGTGTGGTTCCGACTTGGATGTTGGGACTCTGCTTTGTTTTTGTTAATGAGTGAGATGAGCAAGTGCAACACGTGAAACACAAAGTAACTTCACCCACTCATCAATGATGTGAGCGACTTTGCTGAGTCACTTGATGGCTTTCAATACGGAGAACATGTTTCCTAAAGCCTTTTGTGCTGTCACATTAAGCAGCCGTGGAAGCAGCAAGCTTTTACATTTAATCTGCAACTTTACAGAAATTCTTATGGAGGCATGGTAGATGTGAACTGGTGGAGAAGTAAGTTAGCCCGCTGTTGGTCACTGTGACCAAAATAACTGAGAATAACAACTTCGAGGAGGAAAAGTTTATTTTGGCTCATGGTTCAGAGGTTAGGTACATGGTTGCCCGACTTCATTGCTCTGACCCTGAGGTGAGGTAGAACTCGTTGGCAGAAGGTTGTGACAGAGGAAGGCTGCTCAGGTCATGCCTCCAGAAAACAGAGAGAGAGAGAGAGAAAGGCAGACCCACATGCCCCTAGTGACTTTCTTCCACCAGCCACACACTACCTGCCTATAGTTATGAGCTAGTATTACGTTCATACAATGGATTAATCCACTGATTAGGTTACAACTCTCATAATCTGATCATGTCACCTCTGAATATTCCTGTGTTATCTCACATAAACTTTTTGGAGGGATACCTTACAGCTGAGTAAGGTGAAATTGAAGATACTCTTAATAAAGAGAACATTTGTTTGGAGGCATGGTAAATTCTGTGGATGAAGAGACATTATGGCAGAATATTAATGTGGTTTTCTTAAAGAAGGTGGTAATTTCATAGTGAAAAAAGCAATTGCTCTTAGATGTTACAAGTGACAAAGTGAAATGGACATCTTGTAGATACATTGATTTTCTTCTTTCCCTTTTATTCTAGGGGTTTTCAGGAAATGCAAATGCAGACAGTGTGGTATACTACAGACTCCAGCCTTCCATCAAAGCTAGATTTCTGCGCTTCATCCCCCTGGAATGGAACCCCAAGGGCAGAATTGGAATGCGGATTGAGGTGTTTGGGTGTGCATACCGTAAGTATTTCTTTATCCAGCACTCTGAAATAGGTATCAAAGGAGATATTTTAAAAGCCAAGCTGCAAACTGAAGTTGACTTCTTAGGTAGGTAAAGAGATATAAAGATAGGAATGATTTTTTTGTGTGTGTGGAAAATATTTTTCATGTCAATATTGACTTTAGTGTTCAACTTTACCATAGTAAATTCAGGGACAAAAGCATTTTATAGACGGACATAAATATATATTTGTAGATATATGTGAGTGTATTTTTTCCAAATATAATATTATTGACTAGATTTCAACTTTCAAACATTAGAGATTTTTTTTCCTATGGCTTATATTGATGATGCTTCATTTAAGCACCCTGAATTTAATAAGAGACAGTGGTCCATTTAGCATAACCAGTCAACTGTTAGGAAACCAAAGAATGCTATTCTCTCTAGCCTAAAAATAATATGCCATCTAATTCATTTTTAAATATGCTATTCCTTCAGCATAAATTAATAGAGAAAGTAAAGACCTCTGCCAGAATATAAAATGTGTTTGAAATATTTTCACATAAAAAAGATAGAAACCACAGATTTCACTTAGTCTCCTTTTAATGAGGCATTTTATTATATCTTTTTGTGAGGAAGGGCCCTAAGAGTTATTGATAGTTCACCTCAAGCCACACCATCCTGTTAGATGCTCTTTCATTACAGAACAATGAGTTAGTTAATATGATCTACAATTATCAGATCAGCCGTCTGAGGTTTGGAGAAATTCAGTAATTTGCCCAGTGTCTCACAACTAGGATACAGAAGAAGCCAGCCAAGAACTCAAGACTGTTCAGTTTTATTACATCACTATTCCTCTAGCAAACATTTATTTCTTTTTTTTTTTTTAGCTATAATGCCTTTTTCCTCCCCTAATATAATCCTATCACTTTTTGATGTAATCCCAACTAAGTTCTGTTTAATTTTGTTTACATAAAAGGAAAACCAGTCATAATGAGGTCAAATGAGTTTGTTGAAACTGCCTGACAGAGAGACCACCCTACAGGGATCACACAGTTCTCATATATTCATTCCTCTTCCCAGTACCCACCGCACATGATCAATAAACTTTGGTTCCTTCTGGGGTCTATGGAATAATAGCTAATAGCATTAATTTCATAAACCTAGAAATAGAATACTTTTTTCYTGAGTGCTTATTACATACATTGTGCTAAGTAGTTGATGATTCTGCAAAACAGCCAGATATCTCCTCCATTTCCCCACTTTGCAAATGAGAAAAATAAAGCTTAGAGCTGTTGCCTTGCTCGAGCCACGGAGACGGGAAGTGGCAGGGCTGGGTGAGCAGCCAATTCTGCCTGAGTGGAGGACTCAAGCTCCCGCTCCCTCCAGCTGTTGGATGGCAGAGATGAGTCAGCGGGCAGCATGCTTCCCACCATCTGTCCGCCTGAACYTCTGGCTTTCTTGGCTTCCACAGTCCAGCTTGGCTTCTGAATTATGTGTTAGCTCCTCACTTTGCAATGACCACACTTGAAAAGAAGAATCATCCTTTAAAAAAATGATCCTTCCCTGATTAAGATTCTTGAACCTAGGACCTGGGCAGTCTTATATGTCTTGGGATCATAGAGTTTAGCAGGACTTGCATGTTGTGTGATGGACAGTTGGTAAAGCAAATTTCAAAATGCTTCCTATTTATAGTTACATTCTCTACTTATTCAGAGAAGCTACCTTGCAAAATATTTATCACAGCAGAATGAGAGCTAACAGTTATGGTATGTTGTCATGGTTATTGATGGATTTTTATATATTTCTAATTTAATCCTTAAACCATCCATTTATTGGAGAGTAAACTGGGTTTTAGAGAAATTAAGCAATTTGCTCAATTTCACACTCTACACATTCCATAATGCTGTTTTACTGACACTTAAGCATGACTCATGGTGTCTGTATGGTAGTGACTGTAAAGTACCAGTTCCTTGCACTTCTCTGCAGCCATRTGACTCAGAATAACTCAAAACCCCTCTCACTTTCATGGATTGACACTCTGGAGAGCACWCTTTTGCTGTGACTTCATTTGCTATCTTTAGGGTAAGCCCACCATCCGTGTATTTAGTCAGTTTCCCTCTCTCACTGACCCCTGGTTGAAGTTGCAATACTGATTTTAAATTAAAATTTAAATACATTTAATAAGATGGTATGACAAAAGTCAATGCAAATTGATGGTCGCATAATTTTAAATTATTTTTAGAAGAAGAAAAGTGATAAACTTAATGGAAAAGTATTCTCATACATAACCAATTGTAACCCCCAAATGGGTTGGGTGTAGGAACGTTGTGGGAATGCCCTTGATCAAGTTGATTTAATCCCTAAATTACACCGTTATCATACTCACATTCCCCAACTGTTTATAGAATCAGCCTTGCAAAAATAGTAATTTTTATTAAAAACATGATACTATAGACCCATCATATTAACCAGCTAATATGTACCAGAGACGACTCTTTATAGGCCTTTTCTGATTTAGTTCCAACCACATAGTGAAATGGGTGCATAAATATCTCTATTTCATGCAGGATGAAGAGGAGACCAGCAGAATTTTCTGCTGATGGAACCATATGGTTTACTCGGGGTTGTCTGTCACAGGAATAGGGGAACCTGGCTTTCTCTCGCCTTAGAAGAAAGGTCTCAGGTGCTGTCTCATCAAGCACCAGCTGTGTGGTTTCATCTGCAACCCTCTTGAGTAGCACGGTCCAAGAGCAGATGGAATTTTCTCTGGATACACAGGTCCTTTCCCTGCAATCCCTACGAAGAGGGAAGGTGGTGTTGGGGCTGGGCAGGGTCTATTCCCTGGATCACAGCCTCTCTCCATACAACTCCCATCCATGCCCCACCAAGCAGACCTCTCCTGAGCTTGAGGGAGGCCTGGGGCTTCCTCCACCCACCAGCCTCTTCTGCCTGTGCCTTCCCAGGGGAAGGCTAAGTTAATGGCACTCCTAGTGGGCTCGCCAGAGCCGTTCACTCAGGAGTGGGACACAGGGTGCTTCTCATCTCCTGACATTGAAGAAGGTGAACATACAGGAACAAGGAACTTTGTCCAGGCTCACATTAACCTGCCAAATAGGACCTCAAATCAGATCAATGACTTTGCCAAGTCACGGTCTTGATAACTCCAGGCATCATCCGTATGTTTGTGGTTTAAGTATTTATTGACACTTGAGAGAAATTTTAAAGTAATATATTTGTGTGTTGAAAAAGATGGACGTGAGCAATGTCAGAAAAATTATACACCCTGAATGCAAAATGTTGTAGCGTAAGTGTAAGGTAGGGAGGATAAAGTGATTGACAAATTGAAATCACTAGAAGCAAATTTATAGCAATGGTTTAGAAATTAAGATGAAGATGGATATATTCACATGGGGAAATAGTCCAAATAGAAGTGGTACACTCCAAGCAAGCACAGGAAAGCAAGAGGAGTGCTAGTGCTGATCACTAGCTTTTTTGTTTTGTTTTTGAGAATGGGCTTTTAGCCCTGAGTGATGGGTAAGGTTGGAGGCTTAAACAGGGAGGCACTATGTTCCTCAGGAGGCTTTTGTTCTTGTTTATATAAGACAAGGTGAAGCCCCAAACTGGAAGGGCCAGCAGTGCAGAGGGAGGTAGACAGATTCAAGATACACTGAGGATATTGACTCAAGGGAGCTTGGTCATCATGTGTGAGGGGGACACTGAGTTATTGCTTTTGAACAAGCGTCTGGAAGGTGGTATCATTTACTGGAACAGGACACTGGAGAATAAATAGTTTCTGGAAGGGAACAGGAGAGATAATTAATTCCATGGTTGACTCTTCATGCTCCAGCACCTGTGAAATATGCAAGGTTGGAACTCCAGGCCCCTGGGTTAAAGTTATAGAATTGGAAACCATATAAATGGCGTCATTATTAGTAAATCATAAAGTGTTCTCCTTGTATCGTTCTTAATAATAAAAGCATAAAGTGCAATATTTGAACTACTTGTGTTTTGAAAAATGGAAATACATTTCTACCATAATTAAAGCAGGTTCTTTATATTATTTTGGGGGGCAGTATAAACATTTTTATACCCAGGCACCTCTTGTGCCTAATATGTGTATTTGCTAAAGTTAGGGGGACAAGATGGTCCTGTGATTATTGCAGGGAAAACGTCTATTGTGAGAAGCACACATAATTTTACTGCCCTCTACCCCAACGACTTAGAGCCATAACTTGTTATGAAAGGATATCAAGTGAATGGAAAATCCATATCAAAGAGCATGTTCTACTTTTATGTCAGTAAACTCCAAGTTGTTTCCTGAGTAATGAGTGAAGTAGAAGCTAAATTTTATGGGATCAAAGGGAAAGTATAAATTTTAGATGTCTCGGCCATAGCAGCTGTGAACATGTCTATAGATCCAGAGAAAGATGTATGGAAGGAAATAACTGATGGAAGAAAGAAAGGAAAAGAAAATCTTCCATGATAAGAGGTGCTCCTCTACTAAATGTTCCAAGGAAGGCTGAACAGTGGGACACAAAGGCAGGGGAGGAAAGAACGTSGTRAAYGTAGTGTCTCTGACCTGCCCCGGWGGGGAAGTGGAGAGTAARTCACCCGAGCTAAGGTTTTTAATTGTGGATGACTTGCAGACGRATTGTCCTGAATATAAATCCTGAAGTTCTTTTCTCCAGTCCCTGTGTAAACATCCTCATTTTGCCACCCATGGTCTTCTCTTCTTCACCCCCAAAAGGATAAGAGCATCCAACTGTGCAGCCATACTGAGCGAACTGAAGTTTCTTTGACCTGACTTCATGATTTTTCTAGCTTCGGGGTTCTCAGAGATGCTTAGGGTCATTGCCACAGAGCAACCTTCTTTCTTGTATCTAGAAAATTCTCTTACTCATTCTCTTTTCTTAGCATAGAAGTCAGCTTCTGGCAACTTCCCTGACACCCCACCTTCAGACTTGGGGGTCAATGTTTCCAACCATCAGAAGTCAGCCTTTCTTCCGATCATAGTGTG